CCGCTTGAAAACTTAAATCCCATCGCCGTTTCCGAATAGAGTAGAGAAGAGTTCCGTATGAAGGTGATGACATAAACTTCATTATTCCGTGTAATTGGTGGAAAAATGAAAATGATTTGCTTGAATAACGCACAACGCATAAACAAGTGGATCAATATGGATTTAAACAAATTATACTAATGTTGTTAAGATTCGGTTGTGACGGCACGTAACTGTGAAAATCGCTGCATTAATTGCGTGTCACGTGTCGTCTTCAATTTAAAAAAGTTAATTACGTATCACGTTTTCGCAGAAATTGAATGGAAAAAATATAAAAACCTGCTAAACCAATTCTCAAAAAAATGCGTATTGCTTCGTGGTTACCCATCATGGTTTGAAAAAAAAAAAAAAAAAAAAAACTAACGGAATATAAATGGCGAATGAAAAGGTCAAAAGATAAAATCAACAACAAAAGAATCTCCAGCTGATTTTGTTTACATTGACTTTATTGACTAAAATCCAAATGCCATACACACACAGAAAGAGAGAGAGAGAGAAATTTTTGGGGCTTAATTTGATACGCATATTTTCTAAAAAAATTGCAGCGAAATAAAAACAATATCAGGTCAACGAGCAAGCAAATTTGATATTGAAAAAATGTCTTGGAAACGCGTTAAATACATCAGCTCTTGCTTTTGCGTCGGTGGTTTGTAAATATTAATCAATACCATGCAAGTAAAGTACGTAACAGCTTATGTGCCAAGACTTATAGACTATAAGCTATACTGTTAACTTTGTCAACAAACACACAAAGCGATTTCATTCATGAGTAAATAAATCAAATCTTATGGAGAAATAACAAACGGAACAACGCAATGAAAATGATTGCTATCACAATTGAAAGATGACCGAACAGTAAAATTATTTCAACGCATTTGCAATAAACTCAAGAACACTATTTGCAAAACTCAAATATTTTTTTGTAATAACTGTTGAAAAAAAAGCTCCTTCGATTTTGATTGGAATCCAAAATATTTTTTTTTTATTTCCAAAAATGTAATTTTACTGAACCCAAGATCAAAATAACTAATGGATGCTGAATTTGTGTAATGATTATTGTGTTTTCATTCTATCTCAATTTAACAAGGTGTTCAAACTCCAATGTAATAAAATTAATTACAACAAAATAAATATTCAAAGAAAATACTTCATTTCAATAGAAATTGACTTATTTACGTTTCAATCACGCGACATTAGTTATTTCATTTTGTTAAAATTGAGTTTGAAAACTATTAATAAAGCAATAACTTTTCCAACAAAAAAAGAGTTTCGAATAAAGTTGATGTCGAAAATTCAATTATTTTGTGTAATTCGTGGAAAAATGAATTTGATTGTGCTTGAATGGAGTGAATTTAACCAGAAGATACCAACATTTTGTTGTGATGGCACGTAGTTGGTAGAAGAAAAACAAAAAATCGCCATATATGAATTGTATGTCATGTACTGTCTTCAATTTAAAAAGTTAATTTTAAGACAATGAATTCATCACTTTTACGCGGAAATTGAGCGGGGAAAAGGGATAGAAAAAAAGACGCCAAAAAATCAGGTAAACCAATTCTCGGAAAAAAGTGTACAGAATTGACCGAATGCTTCGGGCAAACGTAAATAATATGGAACATAAGTCTTGAATGAAAAGGTCAAAAGATAAAGTCACCCCCAATGCTTTCCAGCTGCTATTGTTTACATTGACTTTATTGACTAAACTCCAAACTCTCAGACATAATTCATTGGCATTGGGTTTTAAGGGGGGTTGAATACAATTTTATATTGTCTGAAAGAAATTGCAGCGAAACGAAAACAATCAGGCCAATGAGCAAGCAAAAACGATAATGGTATCACGTTTTATCGCTCACATGAGTTTTTATCATATCTAATTCCTATATGAAATTCAAAGTGTGTGTATTACTCGTGTGTGTGTGTGTGCGTTCACTATATTTTACAGCAATAAAGAGAATGTACGAGATCCAATTCAATTGAAATCAATTGTGTTTTTATCGTTTTTTTTTCGTTGCTTTTTCTCTCTGGCAACAATTGATGTGAAGTGGAACTTATGTCAATGCACACAACATGTTCATTATAAACGGCTTTTTATACTCTCTGCTCACGTTCTCATATAGATATCGACTTTCATATAACCTCGTAAGTTGGGAAACTTTGCCTGCCAAATCGATCAAGCGAACAATAAATAAATTTTTATTTTATTAAAATGGTGCCGAGTTTCCGTTGGCTCAATGCACGTTAACTTTTCCGTTTTCGCAATGAATGCCATACGAGAAATGTGCGGTTTGGTAGTTATTAATAAACGAAAAACTTTTATTACAGAACGTAAGCAAATTAATTATAAGGCGAGATGAATGAAACACAATCCAAAAAGTAAAAATGAAATTTTTCACTTTATCATTTCTATTTAATACTGGTGCAATGGAAGTTTTATCAAAAAAGTTTTTTTCCCACTGTACGGTATTCAAAGTGTGTTATGGGGTTGTTTGCTGAATCGATCTATTTAGCTGAATAAAATGTGAGCACATCATCGTTTACGTGGTTTATACAAACTCACAACGGAAATTATCCACCTCACATGTGAATTTATACCATTTATTTCAATGTTGGAATATTTTTATCTCGTTTCCAGAATAAATCAGATCGTAAGTAAGTTGATGTTTGTCAAAATTAAAACTACTATGAGTTATGCCAGTTTGCCAGAGTAATTCCAACAAATTAAGAAACTTATTAAATTGTACGTACTTCAGCATTTTAATGATGAAATGTAATATATTTATATGTGTGACATGTGATGCAATGCTTGAAAAACTGCAATGACAATTTAATAAAAGCACTCAAAACTAAAATCATCACACCATGACAAAGTTCAAATGTAGTTAAAACATATGCCCCATTCAATTGATGTTGAATAATACAGAAAATCAACAGGGATTCGTGGTGACAAAACTTTTCATAGATATAGATCAATGTGTCAACTGAGTTTGTGTGTGTATGTATTGCATCGCCACATAAACACAAAATCGACTTAACAATTCTGTTCCAAATGAAAATTGTTACTCATTCAACAAATGCTATTCAAATAGTCTTTATTTTAATCAAAAAACGATATTATGCAAAAAGTTTCATGCAACGATTTATATATCCATTTAAACTGATTATATTCAACAATTTATGTATAAATCGAATGGAATTGCGGGCAGTTCAAATAAAATACGGGCATTTGTGAAAATCCAATTAAATTTGATTCGCTGTATTCAGGCATGCTGCAATTGTCCGAATGTTTGAAATAATGTACTTATGATGAGAACACTGTTTTTCATGCTATAATGTAATTAATTTGCATGGTATATTTCAAGGGGATATTCATATTAGGATAACTAGTGAAACTATCAGCAACTAGCAAAGTACGATTAGTGTTTCTAGTGCGTGAAGTTAGTTCTCAGTAAAAAAATTATACACATTGTATATGAAGTGCCAACTTCACGCACTATAAAAACTAGAATTTTTTTTTGAAACCAGAAATTGCATGAATACCCCCTGGTATATTTAATCATTAAATTTGAATTAATTCAACGAGCATGGAAAATATCATCATTAAAACGATTTTCTTTCACTGCATTTATTTAATTAAACATTAATTCGATTATTTATATCAATTTTGTTTTCTTGAACGTAAAAAGTCATTAATGAGGCCAGATGCCGATAATTTAAGCCTACTTGACTTATTTCTTAGTTGCATTCATCATTATTATGGAAAAATAAATTTCATCACCAATCGACAACGAATATTATCTTTTCATCGAATCATCTTATTTTTATATTTCGGGAACCAATTTTTGCCATTCCATTTATTAAAAACTTTGACAAAGAAAATGGAAAAAACGGAATTGATTATTGATTATCATGGCGAATTGAGTCAATTACTGTTTATTGTTAATGCCACTTCCGACTGTGCACGGAAACACGAACCAAAGCAGGAAATTGATTTCTATGAAATACATTACGAGTAACAGTCCAAGAATGGAAAAAAGAGAAAAAGCTGAAACATTTCTGGAAAATAACTTAGAAGTTGGCATTTATGCATCGTATGTAATACATCGAAACAGATTCAACTATGCATACAATCGAAGATGTTACATTTTTTATGTGAATCGCATTATTGATACTTTCTATTTGCCACAACGAATTTTCCAGCTCTTCACTTTGGTGCGACCTTGATTTACACGATAGCTGGTTATTAATTTTGCATTTGGAAGAATTCACAATGTGGCTCGAACGAAAATTCACCTTTGCGCGCTGTATTTTCCGGGCATAAGATAATAATCAAAATGATTAAATATGCCGATGTCTTGAATGGTATAATTGATACCTCATTGTCATGGAATAAAATATTATAGAGTAACACAGCAATGTATAAGTTAATCCTGCCTCTCCCCATTTGCCAAACGAATTTCAGTTAAATCCGGTTTCGTAACGGATGCGCATAATTCAAACCAAATATTAATTCTAAAAATTGAAAATCATTTTCCCGAGAGGTAGAGAGAGAGAGATTACTTTCATTTTTTTATCACTCAATCACACCCCAATATTGAAGCATGCAAAATTGTAATCATAATGTGGAATTTGGTCTAACAATAGATATTTCTGCGAAGAATTTCGATATGAGCGAGGGAATGTGTTTTGAGTTAAACCGTGAGCCTAATATTAAGTAAGCACCGTAGACATAACATTTGTTTCACGTACGACGATACATTTTCTCTCTCTCTCTCTCTCTCTCTCTCTCTCTCTCGAAAAGTCGTTGAAAATGGCGAAAATCTTCTCCATCAGATCAGTAAAATGCCTATGTCAATTTCAATGCTTTATGAAAATATTTTAATACAAAAAAAAATTGAAATATGTTCGCCCACACAGTTGGCCCAAATTTCACATTCTTAACACACATTTCAATCCATATTTACCTTGATTTCTCACATCAATGCCATAAATGTTTGGTGTAAAATTTATTATGACCAAGCAATATCACAGCAGAATCGTTCAACATACAATAGAATTGAATGTTTGATAAGACGTACACAAAAATTCTGTTCAACCGAATGTCTGCTTCTCGGAAACAATTTTTCAATTCTTTTTATCTTGAATTCATTTCAAGAATTTATTTGAATGTGTCAAAAAATGAATCTTTGTTGGTCGAATACGGAGGTGGCGATTTTCAATTTTCTTTTCGTTCAAAATGTTAATTGAATTTTTTCGAAATGTTTTTAATTACTGGGCAAATTGGATTTTTATTTAAATTTAATTGAAACACCGTATGAAACTGATTTATTCGTAGATGGAATTTGTCTTTGGTAAAAATGTTGTGCGAATTTTTCACAAAACTACTGATCACACAACTCCTTATCACTTTTGAATGAACATTGCAACGGTTTCAGCACATTTGAATTGACGTGTATCACGGTATAACGGTTGAAACACAACTGAACTCGATCCATGGTATTTCATTCAAATATAAGCTCGATGGTGGATAGAGAGAAGTAAAAACAGTGGCAGCAGCAGAAGAGCAACAACGCCAACCGTCGTCGAATATATGGTGAGTGCGTTGTGCGCTTCGATGTATGATTGTTGGATGGAGTAACATAAACCATGTTTCGAGTATGTTTCAAATCGCCTAAACAATGCAGCAAAAGCGTCATTGGCAATGTCTCATTTTACTCAGTCACTTTCACAGCTATGGATACTTATTCAATATTCATTCAACACGTTGAATGAAAGCATACTCTCGCAACACAAAAAGCGGATGGGTTTTTATTGCTTCCTTTACTGCACATTCTTTTTGCGTTCGTTTTTCCTCGACTTCGACTATTCACCTATCTACAATGACAATAAACAATATAAAGGTACGGCAGAGATTTTTCTTTCAATCACCGCAATATTGATGAATGACACTGAAGAATGTGAAAACATGTATCATGTACTGCTACAAATGGATACGGAAATATAAAGACTGATGAGGGCTGTGCACAGATTGTTCATGTTCCCTTTCAGGAAATGATTGCCATTTTTCAATCAACGCATCCATTTCGATTTGATGGGAAACAAAATACAAATTAAGCATAAAAATTATAAATAATTTAAATATACCGGAAAATAATGTTATTGTTTCAATCATAATGCACGCAAGGATAATTCTGATTCGACACCGTTTTTGTAGCTGCAAATTAAAAGATGCCATTATACCTTTTGTGTGTAAAAATGTGTAATTTTGTTATCGTAGAAAATATCAATTCGATTATTGACATTTGATAATTATAAACATTGACATATCTGCCATTCCAATCAGAAGATTCGAATGGTCGCTTCGTGTCTTTTGTTTGTACTCGTGCTAAAAATAGCACCGGTGTAATTTTCGTATAAATGAGCATGAAAATCATACATATTAATGAATTTAGGCATGAATGTTTAAAACATGCATTACGAAATATGAAATTGTGGAATTCACGTTTACCCTGAATGATTTTTTATTCATCAAGAATGTGGTTCAAATTGTTAGTGAAAATCAGCCAAAATAATCAACGTTGAACTTTAGCCGTTCAATGGATTAATAAGTGGATAAAGCACGCATTAAAACATTCCATTTGTTAAGATTCTTTGAATTACATGTTACTTTTAGAAATTGTTGTGTTTCTCTATTTAGTTCGAAATCGGTTCCAAGCGACATCTACTGAACGAATCTTAAATCTCTTTGGTCACATTGGAATACGCTGTTCATGTAGCTGTTGAATGGTTTTGTTCTACTACATTTTTTCTTTGAGACAGTTCGTCCTATTGTACACTTTCATCTGTCACTTCGATGTTGACTTTGACTTGTTGATGTTATTTCACAACTAAACGCAAATCAAAGTGTGTATAGTTCTGTTGTTCTGCTAAACAAAGAATACGTCGTAAATTTCGATCAAATTCCAGGAAAAAAATAAACATTTGGAAATTCGGGTGCGGACAAAATGCAAAATGAGTGCAAATCTACCGAATGTAATTTGAGACAAAACTAAAATTCTATATTGTGTTATTTATCGAAGTTTTTTTCTGAGTTTGGTGTTGAATTCATGTCGGTGCATGTTTTTTTCGTTCTAGGAATTGTCAGCTCTGGTGAAGTTCGAAGTATTGGTCACCCGACTTGAGGTGATTTCGAGACACAGCCTGAAAAAACATGCAAAAAAAGAGCGTCTTACACGATTTTTTGAGGAAATTGCGCGTTTGCAACGGAAATTTGTTGCCGAGCGTGGAACTAAGGAGGTAAGTGATAACATTATTTTTTAAAACAACAAACATCATTTGGATGTAAATCTTTTATAGGAGGCTAGTTCTTATCCATTTTTGCGACTTTTACTGCCCGGATATGACGACAAAGAACGCAAAGCATATGGTATGCAAAAGGCAGCTCTCGGCGATTACTATGTGAAAAATTTGGGTTTGAATAGAAACAGTGAAACCGCACGACAGCTGTTGATACCGGGTACCGAAGATTACAGTGAAGTCGTGTACAATGCCATCAAGTCCCGTGCACCACAAGAAGGAAACCTAACGGTATACGAAGTCAACAATTATCTTGATTTAATTGCGGAGCACTATCAAGCCAACGAGAGAAACAGTAAGTTTGAAAGTTTTACCATTCATTTTTTCACAATGTAAGTTTTTTTTTTATTAAAATGACATTTTGTTTCATGCAGAAATTCACGATGTGTTCTATCAACTGATCAGTAAAATGACAGCAATTCAACAGAAATGGCTGGTGCGAATGATTTTGAAAAAAGTAAGCTGCGGTTTGAGTGAACGTGAAATTTTGTCCATTTATGACGAAAGAGCCTGGGATCTGCACAACAAACGTAGTTTATTGTCCGACGTGTGTGCAATTATCGATTCGGATACGCCACTTGACCAAATCGATGTCATCGAAGTATTCAAACCGATTCATCCGATGCTGTGCGAACGTGGTTATGTGGCACAAATCAAAGAAATGCTGAAAGAGCATAAATATTACATGGATACCAAAATGGACGGTGAACGATGTCATTTGCACATAAATGGCAATGAGTGCCAATATTTTTCACGTCGATGCAAGGAAATCAAATTTGGTACCAAAAATCAAACTCCAGCGAAATATGCGTATATTTTTCGGGAATGTTTGAGTCGAGATGTGAAGAATGCAATATTTGACGGCGAAATGATGGTATACAATCGAGTAACCAATACTTTTGTGAAGAAAGGTATGTGTGAAGAAAATTACAGTTAACTTTTAAAATATTTTGATGTTGATGGCATTTTTATAACATTTTTGTGACTTTAACTTGTAAATTTTAGCTGAAAATTCCGCTGCAAAATATCTTCAACCAAATGATGATCAATTCAATATTTGCTATGTCATCTATGATCTGCTTTATATCAATGGAAAGTGCCTTATCGATTTGCCATACGCTGAGCGTATACGCAAAATACGAACAATTGTAAAAGTGAAGAAAGGTGCCGTTATGCTGTGTGAATACGAAAAAATACGTGATTTCGAACATTTTTTGCGATTGTTTAACAAATCATTCGATACAAACGAAGAAGGTATTGTTCTTAAACAAGAAGAGTCCAAATATAAACCAGGACATCGTGAAAAGGGTGGATGGTTCAAGTTTAAGCCGGACGTAAGTTGACATTTTTCAAAAAATAAATTTATATATTTTTTTTTTATATTTAATTGAATAGACAATTTGACATTTCATTTGATTCTAATTTGAGCAAAACTCTATATATTTCATATAGTACGAAAAAGGCTTGATCACTGATTTCGATTTACTCATAATCGGTGGGTACTACAATGACAGCAAAACATCGGTAGACACATATTTACTGGCCGTAATGAAAAAGGGCATCAATGAAAGCAATAAATCAGCCGTCTTTCATTCGGTTTGTAGAATATTTTGTACATTTCAATCACATTTTGCTAATTTTTTTCCTATTTGATCAAATCAGGTTTGTAAAATTCGCAATGGTTTGAGTTTCACAGATTTCGAAACGATAAACGATCACATTCGGCTAAAAAAACATGAAATCCGAAAGAATCGACAAAAGGCAATGACCGAATCTCCACCCGGACTTGTATTTGCATCGGCAAATCCAGATTTTTGGGTTGAACCCGAGCATTCGGTTGTACTTCAAATCAAAGCTAGCGAATTGACGAAAACCACTACCTACGCGACCAATTATTCTTTTCGATTTCCTCGCGTTATCCAAATTCGATGGGATAAATCACCGTATGACACATGTACTTTAAACGAATTCAACACATTTTGTTCGGTACGTTAGATTTTAACGAATTTTCAATAGAAGATTTATCCATCTAAATAATGTTATAATTAACAGTCAGGCGCAAATGTTGTAAAACTCACCAAACGACATGCAACTGCAGATGATGTCACTGGTGAAACATTGCCAAAGCGAGCGAAGCGAATCAATCCTGCACCAAAGCCATCACTGGAATTAATTTCCACCGAAGTAATTTTTTCCGTTTTAAATTTATCTGGTTTGAATCAAATGTTCTTACACAGAATTTTGCTCAATTTTAGACCAAAGTAGTTGACCTAATATGTAACGGGCTCGAGTTCGTTATTCTCAATACAGATAAAACAGAAAATGCCATATCTGTTGATGATATGAAAAAGATGGTTGAACGTCACGGCGGAAAAGTTGTCGATCATCCAAATAGTATGTATTTTTGATTTCACTCGAATTAATCATTACTTGCAATTGAAAATGGAAATTAATTTATCGTAGGTTCAACGTATGTCACCATCATTGGCAATGAAAAAACTGCAAAAGCAAAACCGTTAATCAAGTTAAAACGTTATAACATTGCAAAACCAAAATGGCTGGTGCGAGCACTTGGTAGTGATCAACCTTTGATAAAATTGATTGATTTTACACCGGATGACATGGTTTATGCAACGGAAGCACTTCAAAGAAAATTCGAAGAAATGGAGGAAGATGATGAAATGGAAACGGCGCCATTGGTCGATGGCCATTTGTCGAAGTCGTTTGATCAAGTCGCTTTAAACGTAAGAAACTAAAGTTGGCATTGACCATTCAGATATATTTTTAATCGTCGTATTTTTTTTAGAATGAAGCCGATCCAAATTCTGTTAGCCCTTTGAAAGGATTGAAAGTGTTCAATGTGAGATTTTTTCGATCTTTGACTTTTTAAATTGAAAAAGTAAAAAAAATATTTTGTTACAGAATAATAATTCTGTTGAACAGAATCATCAGAAAATGATTTTGGAACATCAAGCAGAAGAAGAGCACATCGATGATATTTACACCGCAGTAACGCAGGTCCTTGAACCCATGGAAACTGAGGAACAACAACACCATGATGATATTTTCTTGATGGATACACAGCCCATGCAACCAGAGTTAGTCAATCCGCCGAATGAAATCGAGAACAATGTAAGTATCATTGAATATTTTTTTGTTCGAAAGATTTTCAAATTGAGTAAATAAAACATTGAAAACTCTCAGGGTCATCGATCAGTTTTGGAAAATGCACCTCCGGTTCCAGAAGAAACGACGAATTATGATGAATTGTTCCCAGCAAATTCGGAAACCAATAAATCCGAAACTACCAACTATGATGATTTGTTCCCAGTGAACTCGGAAACCAATGAATCAAAGTTAGCCAATGCGCCGAATGAAATCGAAAACAATGTAAGTTTCATTGAATGCAAAAGTTTTTCAAATTGAGTAATAAAAATATTGAAAATTCCTAGGGTCATCGATCAATTTTGGAAAATGCACCTCCCGTTCCAGATGAAACGACGATTGTTGTATCCAGTGATGATTATGATGATTTGTATCCAGTGAACTCGGAAACCAATGAATCTAACGTTAATTTGGCGCATCCAACCAACTCGAATCCAGAGGTAGGGTGCATTGAATTCATCTGTTTCAAATGTAAAATCACTAAAAATGTCAAAAAATTACAGGTTCAATTGAACGAGAATGTCCCTGACAATGTTAAGCAAAATGAAACCCAATGTCAGGATGACATGAGCATATTTGGCTCTTGCATCGCATACTTTTACGAGGAAGAATCATCATTGGTAGATTTCGTTGCAACATTTGCAGAAGGCATTTTGATAGCAGGAGATGGCATACATTTGCAAACAATCGAAGATGTCCAACAATCCGAAGCACCATTAACGCACATTTTTGTGTCCAGCGCCGAATTCGATCGCAAAAAATTCAAGGAAACGGTACGTTCGTTTGGCACGCAGACATTGAAGAACGTCAAAGTTATGCGGTATCAATGGATCCTTGATTGCGAAGAGCAGAAAAAGAAAATTTGTGATACAAATTACATAGTTAGTGTGTAAGCCATGCATTTGAAATGTGATTCTATTTGAAAGTTAAAAAAGACTCGGCATTTTCATACATAAATAACCAATAATATCATTATACATTTGATATTTTTGTTTTGCAACTCATTTGCTAACTGATTACATATTTCGTTCTGACTTGTTTAAAATTAGCTATTAACGACTGAGACAACGAGTAAAAAATATGCACTAAGCAACAAAAATTGCTCAGATATTCTATGTGTCGAATAGATCGTCGATTAACATATGGAATGTTTCAAAATCGAGAAAGAGAAAGAAAAAGAGATAAAACACATATTTCAAGTTAAATATATTGCTAATGGAATAACACCATACGCCAACCAATTTGATGGTTTACACATTGACCCCAAAAAAACACCACAATCGCATACTTTTTAAAAGTGTAATCAATTCCTTCAGTCGTTGATGCGATGAAAACAACTTGAGAATAATACATTTTTGTTGATCAAATCATTTTTTTTCTAAGAAAAAAAACATTATTTACTCCAGTAACCTAAGCATAACCAAAGCTTATTTAATATTTAACCAAAAACACTATTTACTTTGTTATTTGTTAAACAATTATTTTCAATTCGATAAAGAGTCCAAGGGAATTAATTACTATTTTGACTAGTGAATAAATCGAAATGCATGTTTATTCAAATGTAAAATTTGGTATTTAATTACTGATATTATATATTGACAATTCCGACAATTATTATTCCGTTGATTAATAAATTTAGCGACCGTTCCCATATCCATATATCCAATACACGTGCATACTTCAAATATTGATTTTGTCCGAAAATTGTATGGATAATATATTTGCTCATAATTATGTTGACCATTGCTACCCGAAATTTTTGGCCATTGTCTACCGCACAAAATGATGGGTTCGAATACGAAAAGGGTTTCCATTGAACTTCAATTTGCCGGTCTTCGATGGATTGATTTCTGCGGTAGATGTGGATATCTGATTTGGTAAAATACGAAAAGAAATGCGAGCATGTCACAAATTGAAGGTAATTTCAAAGGTTATTTATATATTTTAGGTATGTATATTCTACTATTGTTGAAATATTGATAAATTTAGACCACTTTGTCTGCGTATATTGAATTTCATATCAAAATCATCATCTGTGATATGCAAATATAAACAAAAATTTGATACGCAATTTTATCCAATTTATTTAGTATACTTCAGTAAAAAACATCTTCAGACAACTTTTTTTTCTTTGTATGCATATCAAAATATTCGTATTGATAAGGTCTGTGTAGAGTAATTTGATCGCATTTATTTGGAAAATTGGGCAATTTTCTTAATTTCCCAAGGTTGAACACGATTTGTAAATTCCACATGTTGCTCTTCAATTTCGAAAGAAAATTGATTTTTAAAGAGTTCTTAAAATAGCGAATTGCCATTGAGTGCTCTCATCGAGCCGAAAATTAGTGAGAAATTATTTGGCATCAGTCAAAGGTTAGTTGAAAAGAGAGAAAGAAAAAAAGTCGTAGGTTGATACTTTGTGCGTTAATGGAGATTGATACCAAATTGGTTATTACAAATTTATTACTAAATGGTATGTGCGCGTTGTTTATTTTTCCATCCATCTCTCTATCGTTTGCCGTCAACATTCGTAGCGGCATTCAATTTGATTGAGCGTCGTTTCTGAAGAAAGAAAATTTGTATGCGTACATGATTATTTATGTATCCGTTCGGCACACACACTCGTATTGCTCGCACGCAAAATGTTTTCTATCATATCGTTCCATATATGTGTTTTTTTTTTGTTCATTTGGACATGACACACGGATCGTCAGTCAATTTCACGTTCAATTCATGTATCTGGTGTGATCTGGTGTAATTAGATGCTGTCGGTGTATCCATCAATTTGAGATTATTTCTTCTCAGAACGAACGAAGAAAAACACGATCGAATAAAAAAAAAACGGAATTTTCTCAAATGATTTACAACTCACCAAACATGACATATTTATGAGCTAATGCAACATATTGCATACACCGTTTTATCTCTCTGTCTATCGCATCATTCTGCCGCTGTGCATATCATCGTGTGTCGGCATCGAAATGAACGCTTGCGATGCACTAATTGTGGTACTCCAACAAAGCACTTGTATGATGTATTCATGCAAACTAAATTTCACAGTACATTAAATTCCTTTGGCTTTTCACAGTGTGGCTTTCAGTTGTTGAACGGTCTCTAGGCTAGGCTGAAAATGGGAGACCGTGAATATACGCGCGCCCAACGCGGGCGAGAGACAACGAGAGTGGGGGGGTGGGAGAGAGTGACGAGGTTTGCAATTTGCATGAGAAAACACATATATACACTTGTTGAATGTCTAATAAACGATTATTCCGTTGAAATGAATAAATTATTAGCATTGTCTTATCGAAGTACAAAGGCGTTGATTGTATCGACGTGCCATGAAAATGAATAAATGACTTAGTTGAAATGATACAAAGCAATTTGCGGGCAATATGATTTTTAGCGGCATCTTGTTTCATTTGGCGGCTGATCTGAATCGTTCATTTCACGCGTTATTGATACCATGAATAAAAAATGCTATTTTCTCACGAGCTATATGTATCTCCCTCTCTCTGTGTGTGTCTCCATCTCGTTTTGTTGCTTTCATCACGTGCTGTCACATGATTGATTTGCATAATTCAATTGATTTTCGTCCAACATTCGATATGATTTATTGGATGTTTTGCTTTTATATTTGAGAGATATTCAATATCAAAATTACCAATTTTATTTGGATTAATCTAATATTTATGGCTAAATAATAAACAAGTACTTTAAGTATCGCATATCGCTTCTTAAAATATTTACAAAATCATAATCTCAGTTCAATCAAACCTCAATGGTTGAAATGATACAATATTTTATTGAATTTTTTTTCAGCTTATGATTTCATAAATTGCTAAGAACCTCCCATTGATTGGAAAATACCAATCATCATCATATGTTTCAATATTTTCAGTTTTTGTTCTTCTTCTGTTGCGTAGACAATCTGTCTGCTGCCACATTCTATATGTATCTCTTTCTGGCACATGATGCTCAATTTCTTGACCGAGATTACTGCGCTTTACAGCAATGTTACACCAATTTGTTTATTCATCAATGCCGTGTATATGTTTTTTTCTTCTTTTTCTTCACTGTCTTCATTCTTTTCCGTTTAAAATGCAGATGTTCCTTCTGAATGTGCAAAGTATGAAGTGGATCGTTATTTTTTCCCTGCCTACATGACTGTCTAATGGAAAATGCCGACACATGATCCGTGGGAGAGAGAGAGAGAAGGAACATGAAAACGAAATGAAATGTGAAAATGAAACAAATTTTTGTGAAATGGGATGATTTTTGTTAATGTGCACAGATAATTTTCTCTGTTTGGCATTTGGTTGGTTGATACCGAACATACTGACACCCGCACGCATTAAGTGTATCAGATTGCTTAATGTTGTAAATAAATTGGCCACTGAAAAAAATCTCACACTTCAGTTTACATTTAAACGCGAAAGAAATTGGTTCAACACATAAACGGCTGTTCGATTGATTCAATTAAAACTCATTAATCAAGTGTTTTGGTTTGCGTGTGTTACATTGTGTAATTCGAAGAGATTTTTAAAAAAAGGACACGCGCTTTTCGTTCAAAACAGTTCCTTTTCGTTGAGTACCGTGTTTTTTTTTTACCGAAACGTGTTCTTTTCAAAAGGATGTCTTTTGATCAGGAATTAATTAGCATGAGTCCCGAAGATGTTTTATCGGTCGATTCGCAAAAGGCGAAACGTTTTCTTCGTACGCCCAAGTGTGCAAGGTGTCGAAATCATGGTGTCATCTCATGCTTGAAAGGTATTTTTAATTTTTAAACATGAAATCAATTTAAATTATAATCTTTTTTTTGATTAACTTTTAAAATATTTTCCGGTTCAGGTCACAAAAAATTATGTCGATGGCGAGAGTGTGTTTGTCCCAATTGCCAACTGGTTGTAGAACGGCAACGCATCATGGCAGCTCAGGTAAATAATTTCCTTATAAAAAAAAACATCCTTATCAATCACCTGAGAAAGTAAAATACCGCAAGGATTTTCACTTCACAGAATGTTTCATAGCATGAAGAAAACCCATTAGTTAATAAGACGTAGATAGTTTTGTGCAAAATATCGACCGTGTTCGTTTTTTTTCTGTCGGTCATGATAAATAACCCAAGGCTAAACATTATGTTTTTGTGTTGTGTGTGTGTGTGCGCGCGGTATTTTTTGTAGGTGGCCCTAAGACGTCAGCAAACCTCTCAAGATATAAAAGGGATTGTTGATATAGCAAAAGCCCATTCGATGGAAAAACTATTGGCACAAAAGCGGGTCTATCAAAAGCATTTACGCAACTTACAACAATCAACACTTGCACGGAACATTTTACAAGGTATGTTATTACGTGTCCTAAAAGGTGTCAATGTTAAGATCTCTAGATAAATAGAAGTGAATGAAGTCGATTGAATGGAGTGCCGTGATTAAAGGTCATTATTATCGTTTAATATGTGTAAGGATTAAGTGTGGTCTATGGTCGGTTTGAGCGTAACCCATAAATCCCCATTATTGAATTTATCTCATCATTTTGTGTGATTATTCAATTATTCACGCTTGATGAAATATTTACATTCACCTCGAGAGTCTATCGTAATGCATAAAATTTGTAGCAAAAATAACCCAAATTAATGCCATTCAGTTTTTCAAGATCACGTTACAGGAAACATTTTTTGTGTTCCTCTTCCAAATTTGATCATTTAAATTGGATAATGAAAAGGAAACGAGAAAAAAAATTGGTCAAAAACTCGATGCTTGAGTGATTTTTTGTTATGAATGAATCTCATCGTTGCTTGTTTTCATAACTCCAAATGGAAGAGAAAAAGATTAAGAGAGAAAAAACGGCCGGAAACATTTCACTGATTATTGACTTTAAGATAATCCCGTTAAGTACTGCATGTGTTCCATTCAGAAATTCGACACATTTCGTTTGTTGTTTTTATCCAAATTGGTATTGTCGAGTGAAATGTTTCAGTTTTTCGTATTTTTGTTTTGCCTTTTTCGATTTGATTCATTTTATATTTTCACACTTGTAACCATTCAAATTCGAGAGCGACAAAAAAAACGCACACATCCATATCCAAAGTATGTTACACATACTAAATGGACTCATGCTGTTTCTGTGGTTGACCTTTTTTCTCTCTCGCCTGAGCCTCAGTCTCTGCCAACTTGCACTTCAGTTTTGGCACTTTTCAAAAACAAACAACATCTCTGGCAAAAAAGTTTTCCCATTTCAACCATATCATAAACGTATATAGTATATAATTTTTTTACTGCCGTTCGCCATTTCGCACCACGTAAAATGTGTCGAGTTTTCGAATGTTTATTGAAATACTTTTATTCAGCGGTCAATGTTTCCATGAAACAGTGCATTTTAAAATTGTATCTACATTTTGTCAAAGTTTTGCCAGACAAAGTGTCACCAACGTGGAAAGGAAAACGAAGAAAATTATCCAATGAAATTTTATCCGGTCATAAAAATTCGTCATCAAAAAAAAAAAATGCACACGGACACCCGTATATGGTTCGGCCATAGAGGAAGGCCCCTACAGCGCGGAAAGGTCGCTGTAATTTATATGGTGATAAAAACAAATAAAGAGTGTATACGCATTAAAAATAAAAAGAAAATAATAAACTGTTGAGCACATACAGTTCTCGAATTGGAATAACATATGTAGTCATTTGACACCAGATTCTTGGATGGGTAAAGTCCTTTTCATGACATCACTGGTCCGAATGACAACGCGAAGACAGTGAAAAAAAGACGAGAAAAAACACACTTTTTCTCAATGGTGAATGTTCAAAAGGGAACACCAAATGCTTGGCTTCAAATTACCCGGAGCAAGAAAGAAAGCAAAGCACCCAAGAAATCTCTCCGTTTTGAACGCAAAATGAATCAAATTTTATTGCATTTACCCCGTATTGATTTATCTTACTACCATTTTTGTTGTTTGGCGAAGTTTGCAACAAACGAACTGATTTCGAACGATTCGATCAGAATTTTGGGGGAAAAACTGTTCACAAACAACATTTTAACAACCAAACGAATTGAGTTTTGAACATTGAAGTTTTAAATATGTTTGAAACGAGTTTTGCATGCATCGATCCATTTGTGAATCCGTGATTCTTTCAGTTTTTCTTTCTCTCGATATTTAAGTACATTTCCATATCGTTTGCATTACGTTCTGGCCAATGAATATATGTAACGGTTTGATCCGTTTGTAATATATTTTTTTTCTGGGTCATGTACAACGTATCAAATTGCCGATGTCAAAAATTTCTCTCTTTTTTGTATGTAAAATAAAAAGGAGCGACATTCTACAAACATGCGGTTAACGAAAGAAAACTCCATCAGCATTGCAATGCTCTTTTATCCATCATTCTTTGTATTTGTTTGTTCTGTACTGGTAGCAACATTTTTGTGCATGGCAGACAAATCGGCTCCGTTTCTTAACACAGCGTATCATTTTCGGTGTTTCGCTCTTTTGACTTAAACTCTCTTTTAAATTTCATTCAAGATTTTCTCTCTCTCTCTCTCTCTGGTTTATTTGATTCTCTCTTAATCTCCGGCCAAGTAGCATCGAATATTTGACTTTGTGCACAAATAAGATTTGAAAAAATTATCATTCATTTGATGAGTGGAAGAAATGTGCTCACATTTTCAGTGAATACAATTTTTGACAACGATGTAGAGAACACTTTGTTTTCATAGCCGCCAGCCTTCATAGCTGAGTTTCCAATTCAATAACTTTGACATTGTATCATAATTTTCCATATTTTGAACGGTTTCTTTTCTGTTTTAGTATGTTTGTGTCGATTATATTTTGTTACACATTTTCCGTATAATTGGCACGCATGTCGTGGGTCTTTTGGTTCTTCTCACCCTCAACTATGTCGAATTTTTCGTTTTTCCTTTTTCGTGATGTGCGAGTGCCTATTCTCTGTGTGTGTTGTCGTCCCGAATTCGCCTACCTTTCTCTTTATAATACAAAGAGATATAAGCGCATATCTTTTTTTCGTGCCATCAGCTTCGCTTCGTCGCTTCAACTTAATCCGCATCACCGCAAGTGAATGTGTGAAAAAGAAACGCAGAGAAGTTTCTCGTCTTTGTATTTAGTATGAAAATTAAATGGATGACTGGATTTTATGAGTGTTGTAATTTGATAATTTTCTTCCTTTCAATTGACGGCCAATTTACATACAAATCTACCAAATTCGTCTCATCCACGTCTCTCTATCTATCATTTTCCTGTATTCAATTTTAAGATGAAAGTAAAATATTCTATACAAATACAAAATACGTTTAAAGTTTAATCTATTTCAATTTAATGGTTATTTCACGCAGGCTACAAACGATGCCCTATGTACGTGTCACCATTAACGGAACGAATGCGAAAAGCATTCGCTGACAATGAATTAGAGAATACCTCACATTTGTTTTCGTTGCCGCCGCCGCCGCCACAGCCACCATCATCTTCTTCATCTGTCAGCAATTTATCATCACCATACACACACTTGACGATACCAACGGTGTCGCTAACCATGCATTCACCTAGTGTCATCGACTACAATACAATACAACAATCGATGAGAACAAACGATTGCGAAACGGTCGAATACATGCGAAATACATCACCAATTCACCTACCACTAACGCCCACATCCACATCATCGTCGTTATCAACTTCAACAATGGACAGTTATCGATCGAGCACAGAAGCATCACCGAAACGAATTCGAATAATTGATGATGCCAAACTTGCCAATATGGAAAACAATGAGTCGCTGATTTATAATCTTTCGACAAACGATGCTAACAACCACCATTGTATCGGCAACAGCACAAAACCAAAACTTTCGTTTTCCATTGAGTCTATTATTGGGATTAAATAAAACTTATCACGTAGGCAAAGCCATGCACAGTTTTCATCTCTCTCAAGCACAGAAATATTTTATTTACCTTTTTTTGTAATATAAAAATTTGAATTTAAGCAAAAAATAAAGTAAAAAAAAACAAAGAAATTCCTTTTTTGTCTGTTAAAATTCCATCAATTTCTACGCGGAATTAGAACTCAAGTTATCGGATTGAGTATTATTCGAGTGAATAGTTCTTAGTGAAATATTGTCAGGTTCGTTGATATTAATTGAATCCGTTACACTACGCGTGTCATGTGATTGGCGATGATATCGGCGAATGATGAATGCACCACCGAAAATTACGAAAATAATTGCAATAATCATTCCGGTGAGACCGGCAACTAACGTATTATCCGAATCGAAAACGGTGACACGAAATTCGTCGGAACTTTCCTCCAAATAGCCGGTAAGACGGGCAACGCACTGCCACTGCCCTTGGTGTTTCAAACGATCTACATCCTTTACAATTATCGAACAATAGCCAGATTTCATCTTTCGATTTGGGTTGAAGTAGTAATTATTCATATAAAGACTATAAATTTAAATAGCATTTTAACGCTTTTCGGTCTACTCGAATGGCAATTAAATTCAAATGTATCGCTTACTTGCTGGCAGTTACTTGCTCATTTATACTAAAACCCGTACCATCGGGCAAAACGAATCGACAATAATCTACTGGTACATGCTCGGGTATACTGCGACACTCAACAGACAATGGACTATCCTGTTGTGCATCTTGGAATAAGTTTGTCGAAACAAATGGTGATTCTGTTACAAAAAAAAAATTACATTTCGATGAATATAACTCGAATCGTCGTTATAGCGATGTGGTTGGATACATCAAAACCATAAATAAAGCTCTAAAATGAAAATGTAATATAAATCGTGTATACACAGGTATACCTGCTACACGGACACTGATTTCCGAAAATTGATCAGTTCCGGCTATCTGGGTCGAGCCCATATGGCACGACCATCGACCAGTCTGTGAGTGAATAGCATTCAAAATTGTTAAACCACATTCACCCATTTTGATACCGGTTCCATAGTATCTATAAAGAGAATGAGTGAAATGGTTATTTTGTAAATGCGTCGAAAATGCCACTTGATGCAGATATTGATTTTTTGTAACACAAACCTGTACTTGTCAGTTGATTGTGGTGCTTTTAGGTCGGATAATAAGATTTTTTGACCTGATGGGTCGCGAAACCAACAGTAATCAGTTGGAGCATATCGTTTACATAAAATATTTATTTCGGTATTTTCCAAGCCATACACATCGCTGCTATCAATTGTAGCTATTGGAAATAATAATAATAATAATAAAATGTGCGGCGATTTTGTTTCGTTACTGAAAAATTGAAAAGAAAACAAATTCCTTTACAAAAAACTACGAATAGTTTCAACCTTGAGCTTTAGTTTGTGGATCGATAATGGCACCGAATGTCTTTATTTCACCATCATCTTCAACACCAATGAAACATTTCCAAGCTGATTTATCACTGTCGCCGGGGTTGTCAATGGAAACGCCGCATTCACTGCTTTGAAAACCATTTCCATAATACTTGATTCGTCCGTCGCCTCTTCCTTCATCCAAATTATAACCAACATCATCGTTTATTTGTAAGAATCGACAAAATTTCATCATTTTTCTGCGATTGTTCATTAATTTACATTTCATATTCAATGTAGTTGCGGTATTTTGATCGACAAAAATTTCAAGCGATTCAACTGAAATCGATAAGATAAGAGATATCAACCATTTCATCTTGAGCACAGCTTAACGTACTTGCTATTTTATTTTGCTAACTAATCGGATTATTTACCTTTCTTTTGAACGTTTATTTTATATGATATTTCTTGTGTTTTTCCTCTGACACCAGCCACCACATTCCAAATGCCATTTCCTTCAAGTTCGTCATTGAGTTTTGGAAATTCACAACTTTGATATTGCGGAAATGCTGTTTTTGTTTCACCCGGTCGGAGTACATAGCAATAAGTTGTTTGCTCGGGTGAAATATCAACGTCTGTAGAATCAATATCTTGATTTGGTGAATTTGGAACATCATCTTTTTTTTTGTTTTAAAATAAAATCATTATTATACTTTATTTTTGTGCCACGTACGTAATAAGTTTCTAAATAATACTTGTGGCCATTTAAAATGGAAATCAAAATGTAATGAAAATCTATATACTTCGAACATTTATAAACGTAATTCCCCTAGCAACGTCAACCATTTTTTCTCCATCATTATATTCCGATGTCAATCTCCATAGACCATGGTCTTCGATTTGAACTTTTTTAATACGCAACCCACACACTTCTCCGTCCATTGCAACGATTCTACCTGAACTAAGTACACAAAAGCATTTCATGGTATTCGACTGACGTATTTGTATTTAGAGATAATTATGCAGTAATAATCTTACCTCTCCTTTTTTACATCAACCTTAACGCCACCAACTCGCTGATAATAGCACTGATTTTGTTGAGCCACTGGCTTTACTACTTTAAACATAACGTCCTCGCCGACAACAGCATCAATTCCACTTGGAAGAACCGCTGGTGCTAAAATCACTTCACGTGAAACGTATTCGGAAGTGACGATTGTTAAGAATAGACTCACCAAAATTAGATGCGAAACAATTTTATTTCGGTCGAAAAGAAATGACGTGATCATTTTTATTTTTATTCTTTGTTTGCCCACTGTTGCATTCATTTGACACTCACGCAAATTGATGTCTATGACGGTCAGTTATCAAATGAATTTGACCAAAAACGAAACCAACAAATTCAGCAAAAATAGAAGAAAGTCAATTGATAGATGATTAAGATAAGATATATTTGTTCAATTTGTAGCATACATTTTTGCAATTAATTGTTTTTATTACACAAATTATTGGGTATTCATTGATTGATTGATTTATTGATACACATTCACTGTAAAACATCATGTATTTCGAAAAATTCATGTGTGTTACCAAAGTATTTATAACTTTTAAGACAGTGTATGGGATGTGTCTGCAAATCCACCTCCACCTCCAAACATTTCATCGCCTTCACATATTTTCTTATTAGTATTACAAGAATATAGTTTTATTTTCATTACATTATTTATAGGCTATATCTTATAGGCATTCATCATCGTCTGCAATAATCAATCAATTTTGATAGACATATAACATGATTCAAACAGTCAGTTTCTTATGATATATTTATAAAATAAATGAAAATAACATCTTTAATAGTGTCTTAATTGGCTGATGTCACTCGATATTTGCAGCAATCAATCGATACATTACATAAGGATAACATTACGCAATGCATTCATATAAGTTTGCTTAGTGGCAAAAGAACACAGATTATTTGAAAATCAAGATCTTTAATTAGTATACTTTTAATTGATGATATTGAAGTTCTCTTTGATTAGGAGGAAGTTTGCTAATTGTTATATAAAATGCTATTACACGTTCTTTTTTTTAATTAGTACTGCTGTATATCTGCTTATTTTCTTTGCTATTTTTGGAGTAGCGCTTTGATTAGTACGTCAATAAATAGCTCTTTAATTTGATATCAATTAACGTTCATCTAATAGTCGCAAACCGTGAATTATTGAATGGAAGTTACTCGTCTTCTTTGAATGTACGCATACACGTGAATACACATCTATTTCTTCATAAATTATGTGACGGAGATACCTTTAGACAAATTTCAGTTATGAAGCTGTAGCTATGGAATGAAAGTGACTATTTGCTGAATTTAAATCAAGGTTTCAATTTGATTTGAAATCAGTTTGAAGTGCGAACCTATTTTGGTTTTTAAAGTAAAAAAGTGAAGTACGTGATGAATCTTATCTTAAAAAAGACATTCCTTTCAGACCAGCTATGTTTTATCATTTTTATCAATGTGATATGGCGTGAAATGGGTTGTTTAAAAAGAACTTTTCAATTGTTTTTTGTTTTTGAAATTATACTTTCTTTTTCTGCGTAATATGTCTCTTAAGCTTATTAAGACAGTTTTTATGGGTATTTTCGGTTTTCTTTTTCTTGCTTTTACTTACTTATTGAAAATTGAATTAGAACTTTTTTTTAGAAGGAACGCTCGCCAATCATAAATATTCTATACAATCCTTTGGTGTTTAACCGAAATTGATGTGCAGTATTGCGTCACAGTGAGAACTTCCAAAGAAGTGTTTTTTACTTATTCTATACAATCCTTTGGTGTTTAACCGAAAAGAATTGTGTAACAGTTTAAAAAACGATTTGACTTTTTTCGACTCTCTTTTCTGATTCTCTATAGGCTAATTACGTGACTGTTATATTGATTGAATAACTTGTTTTTCCTTTTCTTTGTCTCTATTTCTCTTGAGTAAAGCTATTTATATTTGAAATAAAAAAAATCCATATTCATTTGCTAATGCTATCCTTGTTTATATATTGTCTTCGTTCTCCGATCAGATATTGTATTCCATATTTAATAACTTCATAAATATTTAATATTTGGAATTTTTGGTCGATGCCATTAAAGCAGTTCATTTCAAAACTTTCAACATATTCAAAAAACCCAAAAAAAAAATCCATTTGAAATTAGTTCCTGTGCTACTTTTGGCCTGGAAATATAGTGGGAACGTGTCTATCGGTTTGTCTCGAGCAAAAAGGTCCATGATATTTTGTGTGTTTGTATTTTAAAATTGCATATCTTCTTCAGCACCGAAATGCAGATAAATGGTGCATAAAATGGTTGCTTGCATGAAAACATACATCACACACAGTGTGCCGTCATTCATGTGGATGATTATATATTGATGGAAATGTGGATAAAGTGAATACCAGAATATATAAGTATATAGTGATGGTTTACAGAGATTAAATGCAACAGAGGCATTTCTTATACACACAAATACCATGCATTTACGTGTTAAATTAAAAATGATTATTTCAAGTTGCTGTTGCTCTTTGTGTGATTGTGTGTGTGTGATATAATTGTTCTTGTTTGTAGAGATAGAGATAGATAAATCAAAAGAGTTATACGATTTAAATTCAGTATATTTGTGTATATATTAGCCTAACTAAGCTTATATGGTAAATAGATAAGAGATTATTTTGTACAGGTATATATTTTGCGCAGTAAAATTGTATCGCAAATGAATTCGAAACGGAAATATACATTTGAATGCAAAAAAAATGTGGAGTGGCCTTTGATGTTGAACTTGGACTACATAAAGATTTGATTGGGATTGATGGGAGAAATAAAGGATAGGATTGATAGAGAAACCTCCCGGTTCGTTCGAAATTTAGGAAGGAAATATCGTTTGAAATTTATTTAAAATTCATCTGAAAATCTTTTGTGAAACATGCATAAAAAACGTGATCCCGCATGTTTACAAAATGGTATTTGTTTGAGTGTTCAAAAGTCTGATTAGAAAAAAGAACCAATAATAGATACTTTCGCTTTAAGCGATAAAATCAATCGCACTGAAAAACTTTTTAAAATGTTCGATTTCATAAAATGTTCGACACAAAGTTTTTGATTATGTAGCAAAACTCTTTTCAAAGTAAATCCACATCGATTACATTTTTCATCATTTTGAAGTTGGCACAAAATATTATACGATTTTTATCCAATTTTTTCAATCAATCTCCGTTTAAATGTTTTCATCACATTTTCTGTTCGCATTCAAACACTAAACTAATTATGATAACGAAGAATATTTTGATTAATTTTATAACAAAAATATGTTGAACAATTTCATTATAGAAATTGATTTAAAAAAGTCTGCGAATTTTGAATCCTGTTTTTGTTTCTCCCTCTTAAATTCATATTCGCAAAATGCATTCAATATATCCTGGCAAACAGGATAGTGAAACCTTGCGAACAAATCAAAACATATTCATTAATCATTTTGAAAAAATACGACTCCTAGCTGTCTACAAATATCCTGTGCAACAATTTGTTTATTTTTTACATCAAATTTCAGAATGCCAACGTTTAAATTTCAATAACCAATATATGAGACAATATTTAACGATTATCACAAGGGAGATCTCTTTCAAAATTTCATAAAAATCTATGTTGATGTATGTTAGTTTCATATGTGGTTGTATGTATGTGTTTGAATGTGTGAGTGTGAGCGTATAAATTCCATACATGTTTGCGTTTGAACATGTGTTTACCAAAAAGACTTGAGGTATTTTCCAAAGGGAAGAATAGTTTGTTTGTTTAAAGCGAGTATATTCCATTTTTGTTTGTTCTATACAAAGTGGTAATTTATATTTTGAGAATATTGTCCGTTTGATACATGTATAGAAATGATTCGATTGTTTGTGTTTGTATTTTAATATTTGATGCAGTAAAATTTGAGAAAGTTCTGTGTTCCCTACCTCGCATGTGTTGGTTTGATCACAAAATGTGTTCGTGATTCGATTTGGTTTTCATACACGTGGCCATTTCGTATGGTTTACATCCAAAAATATGAATTTATCCGGATTTTGGTGTTGGATGTGAAATGCGTCTTATAGCATGCCACATGGCGACTGGTTTTCGTAAACTGGTCATCATTTGATTCCAGTGTCTTAGGCCTTTATCGGATGTTGAACAACCAACAATAACGTGTCCAATTGGCTTGGCACCGCCAATTATATTGCTATTTTCATACGATGACGTTGATTCGGGCACACTCATCACAGTTATTCGCACTTGAATTGCATTCAACATATATGGCGGCACACTGAATATCATCGCTTCATTAAAAATTGGACAGCTATCGGCACGTTTAATGCTGGTCTTCTTTTTCGATACTTTTTTATCGTCTTTTTGCAAATAAACCTGAAAATGAAATGAAATGACAAAGACACAAAGCGATTAAGTCAAAGTAAGAGAAATCGTCGCTTCTATCTACATTCTACATGCATATCACTTGTATTTGCGTTGCGTGAATTTATTTTTCAATTACCTTGACAAAGACATTTTGTTGCGAATTATTTGGATCATCTTCGTTGAGCTTAAGATTTCGTGCCTTAACGACAACGACTGTGAGCCGTTCAGCGGTTGGTAAATAGGACAATGAAAACATTAATTCGCCATATGGACTTATGTTATGCCTTGAATCCGACAATGTCAGCCAAGTTGTGATTGGCCGACGCACATCTCCAATTTGAAATTCAGTCTCACCTGTAAAGACGAAATCGCACAACATCGAATGGATAACATTAAACATTGTGGTGTATGTGTGTGTGTTTGCGGTCGTGATTGTATCATCAAGCAAATAAATCTAAGCGTCAGCATTTTGCACCTTTGAAACAAATTAATTGTTTTATTTTGCCTTACTTACCAATAAGCGTATGAACCGTTCCACTGTGATACACGTGAAACCATAGCGTTCGTTTTGATTGTATTTTATTACTTAACCAAAACGAAATTGTATCATTGTAGCTGGGACATCTTGAATTACGAAACAACTGAAATGATATAAATTGCACATACAATAATACAGTGCACATTATTTATTTACTTCTCACTTCATTGTGTCGTGGCCACATCTTGTCTCGTCTCATTTGAAACGAATGCAAAAGAACCGACCAAATAACAAATGAAATGTGAATTAAAGTGAGAAATTGACTGACTTTTGTTTGTTGTGCTACTGTTTCATCGGGAACCATATAAATTCGTACAAATGTATCAAATTGCTCAGCATCCGGAGGTCCAATTAATTCTTTTGCTTCCATTACGGTTAACACAAGCTCAATGCCTTCGTCAGTGAGTGTATTTCTGTTATTTGAAATGACAAGAAGATGAAATGTGAAAAGAGATGCGCACAAAAAGAGAGAGATAGAGAGTGAAGTACAATGAAAAGGGTCCTTTCATTTCATTTCATTTCATTTTCCGAGAAAAGTCTAATAAATTTCAAATCGCTATTTTTCATTCAGTTTTCAAATGTTTTCGTTTTTCTTTTTATGTTTTATATTTCGAAATACGTACAATATGAAGAAAGAAAAAGTTGTGTTGGCCATGATTGCCAAATATAAATAAATCTGTTTGATTTGAAAAAGCTTTAAAAAAATGTACCAAACTGAATATGAAAGCCAGACCGCACATAATCAACAGATATTTCATTTCAAATTGAACGAAAAAAAGCGATGTTGATAAACATTCCAGAGGCAAAAGAAAAACCGAATCAGACAAATTTACTTACTTATCGTATTGTAATCCAACGCACAACTGTCCCGTCACAGTCGGCACATTGTTCTGTTGCTCCAAATCGGCCAGCCGCACCGATGACTCCGAGTTGACTGATTCGCACGACATGGCTCGTTTTAATTCGGTTGTATCATTTGGATTCACTGTCGTTGACGGACTATTGGCCGAATTTTGGTTTGATTGACGGCTCGTCGCTGTGTGATTTAAATTAGTGAGCGAAGTTTTTTGCGTTGAATACTGTTCGAGATATGTGTCCGAAACGGTTTTATGTAAATTACCATCAGCGAATGGATTTTTGGTTGTTGTTGATTGCTCATAAATATCATTGATTAATGAATTGGATCCAGTATCGGATAGAGATCGATTGTGATTTTGAACATTCGGCACATTATTTATTTGGCTTAATAACGTCACACTATCAAAACTATTTGTTGTTGATGCTGTTGTTATTACTGATATTATCGGTTCGTTTAATTCAATCAAAGTGTTTGACGTTTCCGTATTAATTTTGTAGTCAGTATTTGTCATTTGGTTCTGATCATTATCATCGTCGTCAATGTTACCATTTGAGGGAAATGAGAAAAACGGTGTGTCATCGTTTCGTCGCTTTGAAAATGGATTTTTTTGGAATTTCTCGTCAATGGCATGAAATGTTTGCACTTGATCACAATTGTATTGATTTTTGTTCACATTTAAATCGATGCTGTTGGAATTATCATCCTCTGATATGGACAATGAACCATTCAGAAATGGATTTGTGCATGATTTTGGTCCGTTATTTATTTTGGCCACCACGTCAGACAGATTGATATGCGCAACACCACAATTGGCCGGACTTGAAAATTGACGTTTTGTTGAAGGACGCGGAATAACTGTACTACTAGTCTTGTCAACAACTTTACACTCGCTGAAGCGAAAACAAAAACAACAAATCAAAAAGACAAACAATTTTTTTCACGTTCAATTACGCGACATTATTCAGTTGAAGCAACGAAAATGTGTTATTTGAAAATTTACCTTTCTGTTACGGATGTTTGCTTTTGAGGTGAGTTTTCTAATGATTTTTGGCGTTCACGATGCGTCGGTGAATTGGGTGCAGGTCGCAATGGTTGTGGTGGTATCTCTGATATGGTTAGATTCCATGATTGTTGTGATGTTTGATCACTAGGCTTATAGTCACGGTCAATTGACTCGAAACGCTTGAAACTTCCAGTTGAATTCAATAAAAACTCCGAACCGGATTGAATCTGCCAGAAGTCAAATAAAATTATAATGAATTAAATGAGTGTATCCCATCATGAGTGTGCGAGAGTTTGTTAGTTTTTTTTTCTTCGTTCTGGTCACTCTACATGGCTGTTGCTGTGCTTAAATTTCTATTATAAATTGTAATCAGCTTCATGGTGAATTTGTTCGCAGGTGAAGGTCAATTTTGTACATTTATCTATGTACGTAGCTTGATATCGAAGTGGTGGCTCGTGTCTATCGGTGTACCATGCGCGTACAAATAATCGGGCATGGCACACAACTGGGGGAAAATTCTCAATAAAGCAAATATCCGGTATTCAAACTGTAAATAATTGCTGAACAAATGATTTCAACCATTACTCTTGATGAGTTTTTGCTGTTCATTGAGTTTTCTCCGAATTAGATTGGTACATTCTACGAACGAGACAACAGAGACGATGACGCATGGCGAACTCATTATTGACCTTTGGATTTGTTTTCTTGTCGAATGACAAAGTTTCACTAATTCGGATTCTCTGCTATATTCTTACTTCGTTGTTGTTTTGTTGTGCTTACATTGCCATAATCCCGGCCGAGAGGTAGACCACCCTTGCCCGCGCACAAAGAAAAATGCTGAGTAATGAGTTTTTGTGTGTTGTTTTTCTTTGTCGTTTTTGCGCTTCTTCATGACATCAAGTTTTAAGCGTTAAACAAACGCTCGATTATTCTGTCATTTCCAGACTAATAAGGAAAAACGCTTGGGCACAGAATAAATATCAAATATTAAATAAAGCTTTTATTTGTGAAAATTGAATGGCCGCACAAGCAGTCTTTATGCCGTACCATCCTCATTGGCGGTGCAACTTTTCACAAAATCGACCGGATTTAAATTTAATTTACTCTTTTATATAATAAAATACCATGCATATTTAATCGCTGTTAGAGTGAAAATGGATATGAGAATAAAAAAAAGTGAGAAAAAGTGGAGGATAGATGCTGAAAAAAGGGCTTCAGAGTATCATATTACTGGCAAAATTGCATGTAACATTTCATTAGGTTGTTTTCTTCATATACGAAGCATTCATTTTCTATCCTTATCCTCTATGTCTTCGCCTGTTGAATACATCGTTTTTCCTTTCATAAACGTACACGCATATACTCCGTTCTTAATGCCCCTGACTCGTGAATACGTACTGCTTTTTGTGTACACATATGAACCAATGTGAATATTAAAGCTTAATATTCATGTTTTCATCATCAAACACACACACGACTCCACAGAATATTGGCGATGCATGAGAAGAGGCAATGAAAAGCGACATCAATAACATGTTATTGAGCCGAACTTATTTAAATTGATATTGAATATGTCGGGCATCTGACACCCAAATATAATCCTGCTAACGATGATAATCTATTGATATTGAACATGATGAACTGTGTTCGAATTTGCTATTGGTCTTGCGTTTGCAGTGGGGCACATTCAGTGCAAAGAACTTGAGACAGATCAAAATTGTGAGACGTGTTGCGTAAGTTCTCTTTCTCAGAGATAAAGAAGCAGAAATAGAGAAAAAGACAGAGAGAAGTGAGGGAGAGAGTCAAAACAATCAATACCCAAACATTTATAGGAATATGTGTGCGCCAAGTTGTTGGGCGAAAAGTTGAACGTTGAAGTTTTCGACTTGTATGTTCGACTAGACGATATAGATTATCCGGATTTAAGTTCTATTTCTTTGGTACGAAACTGTTTGCAGAAAAATAAATTTCACATTTAATAAACTTCAATATTTATAGCTCATTCAAAGATTATTGTCAACGCACTTTGATGCAAACCGAATTCGATGCCATTGAATTGGTGTATACACTTATAAAATCGGCTTCAATAGGCAATATAAATATTAATTGTATGGGATAGGGAGGGGGTGCGAACTCACCAGATATCCATTTGCATGATAAATGCCATTTTTGGAAAATCCGATTTTTTCCTCTCGATTGGAATGAATCCATGCGGCCGTTTTTGGTCCAAAAAAATGCAACACCAGCAATACCATCAATAAAATCAGTCCAATGACACCGATACTTGTTGCTATGGCCTGCAGTGCATCCATATTCTTTATTCGTTCGATTTTATATGATACGTGTATACAAAGTGGATTGGTTGCTGATTGTTTGATTTCGCTTCTGATAAAGTGTTTTTTTTTTATTGTAAGTGGTGTGTATCACATTTACATTTTCGAATGACCGGGCGTCAATGTGGTTGATGCAGTTCTTTTCACCGGCATTATGCAACAACAACAAAAACGAACCTTTTATTGAAAGTGTGTCGAAGTCGTAGTCGTCGTCGCTTTTATGTGCTGTGTGAGTCTGCAAGTTGTGTGGTTTAAAATTGCGGAAAATATCGCTTTCGAAACGATACAAAATTCTTTCTTTTTTTGCTATTTATTAAATTGTTGGAACTCGTTTTTTTTCGCTCTCACACGTTCTCGTTCTCTTTCACTGCCACGTTATTTATATATCAATTTCTATGTACTTTTTTTCTTCGTCGTCGTCGTCCTTTGCACTCGGTGCTTTTTTACGCTTTTCTAATGCGAACACAGTTCCACTTTCATATTAACTGGGTCAACACACAGCACACCAAAAAAACAAACTGAAAAAACACTGGAAGTAGTTTCAAAAGCATATTTTATTGTTATTTATTGCATTCTGCAGTTGGTCATTCATTGATTTTACTTGAACAATGCGGTATTTTTCAAACTCCTTTTCTCTCTTTTTGTCGTGTCTATTCTATATTCAACAATACAAAGATACCGGATAAGTGCGTTTTGAACGGGGACCATATTCTAATTACTTAATGGAGCTGATGAAAAATGAAACCAAGCTACGTTTCATGGCATTCGTGCACAATGCAATTTTATCGAATATCAATACAAACTTGGAAGTGTACATTTCAAATAGTTTTTTTTCATTTCGCTTTTTGAATGGCACTTCAAATAAGAGGCGATTGTGAACGTTTAAACTCGAAGAAAATATCATTTACCAGCTCAAACTTTCTTTGCCGTTCTGTTTTCGTATTGTTACGTAAAAGAGCATATATTGTTTCGCATCTTTCCATTCAATCATCTAGTTTTTCTAGTTGTTGAAATCATACTTAACCCTCCTAGGTATAGTAACGGTCTATTAGACCGAAAACTTAAAAAAAATATCATAAAATGGAAATGCGTCGACCGATTGGCATCAAATTTTCGCCTTTTTACGAGAATAATGGATAAATATTGAAAATAACATTTAAAATCCTGAAACTGTTCTGTAAAAAAAAAAAAATCCAGAAAGACGAAAATCCTAACTTGATCGTATACTCTGAAAACCTAAAGGTGGGCTATTCACAACAAAAGTAGCTGTCATTGTATTTCACCAAAAATTTGGTGTGATTTTGATACGAAAAAATATTGTGAACGCACCACTGAACAATACATATACAAACTAATTTCGAGGTTAAGTTCAATCCGTGGTTCATTCACAATATTTTTTCGTATTAAAATCACACCAAATTTTTGGTGAAATACAATGACAGCTACTTTTGT